CTTTTGCTGGATCAACTTCCATCCCTTTAGAAGAAACCACATGACCTAGTACTACCCCTTTCTCAACCATGAAGTGACATTTTTCAAAATTCAGCACCAACTTAACTTCAATGCACCTTTTTAAAACTAAAGTCAGGTTATGCAAGCATTCTTGAAAGCTATTTCCATATACAGTAAAGTCATCCATAAAAACTTCCATTATTTTAGAAGAAAATTCAGTGAAAATACTCATCATGCATCTTTGAAATGTTGCTGGTGCATTGCATAAACCAAAAGGCATTTTCTTAAAAGCATATGTTCCAAAAGGGCAAGTGAAAGTAGTCTTATCTTGGTCTTGTGGGGCGATCGGTACCTGTAGGTATCCTGAATAACGATCTAGGAAACAATAGTGTGACTTTCCTGCCAATCTTTCAACCATTTGGTCAAGAAAGGGCAGGGGAAAGTGATCTTTTTTAGTGGCTTGATTAAGTTTCCTATAATCTATGCATACTCTCCAACCACTTTGTGTTCTAGTGGGAATTAATTCTCCTTGATCATTCACTACCACTGTTGTTCCTCCCCTTTTAGGCACTACGTGTATTGGACTCACCCACTCAGAATCAGCTATAGGGTAAATGACACCTGCTCAATCCATTTAAGGATTTCTTTTTGTACTACCTCCATCATAGGAGGGTTCAACCTTCTCTGGGCATCTACTTTGGGCTTGGCATCAGGTTCTAGGGTGATTCTATGGCTGCACAGAGTAGGATCAAGTCCCTTAAGGTCGGCTAAAGTCCATCTTATTGCTGCACTATGTTCTTTTAATACCATAAGTAACATTGACTCCTGTGCTTCTGTTAAAAGACTGGAAATTATCACTGGCAGGGTGTTATTAGGGCCTAAAAAAGCATATTTGAGGTGATCGGGGAGTTCTTTTAAAGTCAATTCAGGTGGAGAAATTAAAGAAGGAGCTGTTTTGGTGGTTTTAATTGGTAAAGTGAGTTGTAAGGCTGATTTTACTTCTTCAAAAGTGGATAGATTTTCAGCATAAAAATATACCTCATCAGGAGTATTAAAACCATGATTTTGAAGAAAAATAGGATCAAGACTCTCAGTCAAAACAGTTAAAAGTTCATCCTCCTTATTTAAAATAAAAACCTCTTCGACTAACTCGTCAATCAGATTTATTGAAAAAACTTGGTCACCTTCATCTGGATACTT